AGACAGTGCCGCTCTTCCTGCTGCGGTCTGTCTTGCATGATCACACTTGGCTTGTCTGATCTCCCTGGCTGGAAAGGTCCGAGATGTTAAATATGACATGAGTCATGCTAGGCAAGGCTTGACAATCGATCCAAGAATAGTGGATGCGATGCATGCATTACTAAATCTGACTTTGATTTACATGTGCATGCTAGGCTACATCTGGTCTGTTAGCATCTCTAAAGTTTTGTCTTTGAGCCATGTTGTGCTTCCTGTTCGACTACAAGCACACCCCCAGCAACGGGCGGCGAGGAGAGAAGCTCATGCTATGGTCGGACGGCGGTGTGTCCTTCTTTCGGTACACAAGCAGCTTGGTCGGCATACTTAAGCAACGAACTTGTTTCCTTGCTATCTCCAGTCAGTCATCATTAAGTAGCAACAAGCGAAATCATACGTTCTTAAGAATCATTCAGACTACTGAGGGTCCAACCGCCCCGCCCTGGAGTCGCACGGCTTCTGGCGTCGCATTGACAACCAGATATTCCTTCGCTTCCGCTGCACAACGAACATCCCTTGGCGCAACGTTCTGTTCAGCTTTGATGATCAGACCCGAAGCTGCTTGCCTTGGTATGTCTGTGGTTGGTGTATTGAAGGTAATAGAGCATTGTATATTGTACTCCATGATTCTCACTGGCCGCTGGCAGGCTGGGTGGCTACCACTGGTCAGATAACGCGCAGAATGACGTACCAGGGCATCTTATTGAGTGATCCGACCCGGCCAGCGCCCTGACAGATTGGATGGGGTCACAATGAGTTTCTGATCTAGTTTAAACTCTTTTGTTAGGTCCTTCTTGATCTCCCAAAATCCCTCTTTAGAGCCCCCAGCCCTAAGCCTAAACCCGAGACCAAGTGACTACCCTAAACCCTGAACCGTGAAGAACGCTAAACCCTAAAATCTCAACCCTTCTGACTTAAATAACAAAATACGAATAATAACCCCTATAAACCCTAAACTGAACCGAGTCAGGACGTGGTCCGACAGATGGCTGCTCTGACCAGTGGGCTGCGACAGGAAGACGAGTACGTGTTCGTTAACTTTGGGGAGGCGGTGTCTGAATTTTAATCTGTTGTACAGCACTGTACAGCCAGGAATTGACTGCGGGCTAGCCCTTAGCCTGGTCTGTCGAACCATGGACTGAAAACTTAGCTGACACTCATTGTGCCCATGAAAAAGGCCGACGTGTGCGGACTAGTCGTACAGGGCTGGCTGTCATGGCAACCCCACACTGACTGCTTGCCTTGCTAAGGTCCGACGATCACAGGCTCCAGCAAGATCGCCGTGTTGCCTCCGACGGGCGCCGCCTTTATTCTTACGGCCAGACAGAAATTGAGCTTCTTGGGCCACGTGGTCGAGGGTCTGAAAGTGCCCACCAATGGTGTCTCGGAACAACAATTGGCCAGACTGGCAGGAAACTGCCAGGATGTGCAAGCGTTTTCCGTGGTCTTGCTGCTTGCCCTCTCCATTGTGGACTGGAAGAAGTTCTCTGGCTCTACTGGTCCGACCAGTGCCAGCGCGAAGGGCAGTGCATGGTGCAGCTGTCCAGTCCGCTATGCATGGACGAAAAGAAAAGGAGGCAATCTGGTCAGAATTCTCCGGCCCAAGAAGGAGAAGAAGAAGACCCAGGCCAGCAAGATCTCGCACAACGGGGGCCGCGTGAAGAACAGGACGCGTGCTCTTGGCCCGACGACGAAGACAATGAAATCAGTTGCTGTCCGAGGTACGACAGCTGACCGGCTCATTTTGTCGAAGTTCGCATCGTTGCTGGCAGCATGAGAAAATGACGGCAGTTGTCCCAATTTGCTAATAGTAGCAATCTGTGTTTGCTCTGCCTGCTGTTCTGTTGAAACATGGACGTTGCAGGCTCGATGTTGATGCGGTGGCCCGTGTCCAGTGCTCGCTCGTTCCGCCCGCTGCTGGATACCAAGTTGTCCTGCGGCCGATAATTATGGGTTCCACCCATGCTGTGGTGTCAAGGACGAGTTCTTGCTCGCACAAAGCTGCCGGCTCCTCAGCGTCACCTTCTTCTGCAACTGCTTTGGCGAAACAACAGTCAGGATCCTCAGTCTAATACAGGTCCAGGTCCGACATTGGTGCGACACAGTCACAAGATGGAAGACCAGAGGCCGGAACTTCAGCCTCTGTCTTTCGTGAGTTGCTATAGTCTGACAGAGTGAGTCATGGGGACTAAGTCTTGTGTTGTGATTGGTCTGTCCTTGATTCTCGTTGAAGAAGGTCGCTCTGGCAACAGACAGTCAGCCAGGGAGTTATTATTTACTTGTATCAACATAACAGACGTTGCAGTAGTGCTAATAGCACTAGTAGTACTACTTAGTAGTATAGTAGTGTAGTAGTAGTAGTAGTAGTAGTAGTAGTAGTAGTAGTAGTAGTAGTAGTAGTAGTAGTAGGAGTAGGGGTAGGAGTAGTACTAGTAGTGCTAGTAGCAGCAGCAGGAAGACTAGTAGTACTAGTACGAGTACTAGTCCTTGTGCTAGTACTGGTACTAGTAGCAGTAGTAGTAGAAGTAGTAGTAGTAGGAGTAGTAGTAATAGGAGTAGTAGTAGTAGTAGTAGTAGCAGTAGTAATAATAGTAGTAGTAGTAGTAGTAGTAGTAGTAGTAGTAGTAGTAGTAGTAGTAGTAGTAGTAGTAGTAGTAGTAGTAGTAGTAGTAGTAGTAGTAATCGTAGCAGTACTACTGCTACTACTACTACTACTACTAGTACTAGTCCTAGTACTAGGCAATACACAAAAACCCAAACTTCCGATCAGACCCACTTTGGGTCCCCTAGGAGACCCAAAACGAGGCTGGCCACAGCCTCCTTTCAAGCCAGGGTTTCTCCGGCTTTCAAAGCAATCTTCCAGATTATTGGGTCTGGTCAGAGGCTCTGGGCAGGCTTCCAAAATAGCGTGCAGGATGACGTCATCCTGCGCTTGGGTTGGAGGTTCCTGGAAGCCTTTTTTCGAGCGTGGTTTTCCTGTCATATGATGTATATGGAGGCAGGATGACGGTCATCCTGCCCTCGTTTGGTGTGTTGGCCTTCAGAGGTCTGCTCCTCGGTCTGTAATCAGTGAGTCAGTCTTCTCGAGTGCTGTCTCATTCATACAGTGCGCCCCGCCCAAAACTAGGTCAGGATGACGGTCATCCTGCCGTCCTTTGGGGTCATCCTGCCGTGGTTTGGCGCCACAGCCTTCAGAGGTCTGCTCCTCGGTCTGTAGTCAGTTGTTTTGAGTGCCTCAGTTATAGACTCAGCCCCGGCCAGGATGACGGTCATCCTGGCGTCGTTTGGCGCCACAGCCTTCAGAGGTCTGCTCCTCGGTCTGTAATCAGTCGTCTTGAGTGCTGTCTCAGTTATAGACTGAGCCCCGGCCAGGATGACGGTCAGCCTGGCGTCGTTTGGCGCCACAGCCTTCGGAAGTTTGCTCCTCGGTCTGTAATCAGTCGTCTTGACTGCTGTCTCAGTTATTAGACTGAGCCCCGTCCAGGATGACGGTCATCCTGGCGTCGTTTGGCGCCACAGCCTTCAGAGGTCTGCTCCTCGGTCTGTAACCAGTCGTCTTGAGTGCTGTCTCAGTTATAGACTGAGCCCCGTCCAGGATGACGGTCATCCTGGCGTCGTTTGGCGCCACAGCCTTCAGAAGTTTGCTCCTCGGTCTGTAGTCAGTCTTCGTGAGTGCTGAGACTGAGCCCCGGCCAGGATGACGGTCATCCTGCCGCCGTTTGGCGCCACAGCCTTCAGAGGTCTGCTCCTCGGTCTGTAGTCAGTCTTCGTGAGTGCTGTCTCAGTCAGGATGACGGTCATCCTGCGCTCCGTTTTTCTGGTAAGGGCCCAGAGTCCTTCTCACGGGGTCCCTGCGTGGAATAGTTGAGCTTCTTGGTCAGTACCTGCACGCCCGTCCTGATGCCATTTCTGTACACAATTGAAGGTCCGAGTTGCGTGCGGTCTGTTTTTGTACTTGAACGTGGTCTGTTGCTTGAGCAGTATACCCCCCCTTGGGATTGGAGGGCGTTGAAGCCCTACCGAGGGGGAGCTAGGCACGTACGAAAGCTCCCTCCGCACCGTTGGCCGGGTGTGGGGCGGTGGTTCGCATTCCCCCAGCTGCTCCTCCTTCGGCCAACGTGCCAGTGCCGGCATATGACAGCGGGGCTATGCGCCAACGCGCCCGCTGGGGAGGATGCACTGGCCGGCTTCGTCGGGAATCTGCCGTTGTTGCGGCTGCCAAGCACGGAAGGCCCAACTTTATGTTTGACTGCTTGTTTGCCCCCGCCTGTTCAGCTTCGGTCAAACTGTTTCATCCCTCAGATCAGTTAGCAGGCGTTTTCTGGGTCGGACTGTCTCACCCAGACAGACAGAAGTAAGAAGAAGAAGAAGAAGGGAATGTCGAAGCGAGCACTGGATGATGTCATGATGATTCACGTGTCTTTGCCGCGGCGGAAAGTCAGTCATATCAAGGCCCAGTCTGTCTCTTCCCTCCCTAGCTTGTCACTTGGCCAGTCACACGCACGATCTGAGAGCTGTCTTCTTGCTGCTGTGTGCAGACTGATGTAATGAACTAGCTTGCCTGCTGCATGCTGTTAGGAAAGTAGTGGCATGGCGTCTTCGTGGAACCTTCTTCTTGTTGCTACCATGGTCCGGCTCAAGCTGGTCTGACCAGCAGGAGGTCTGTGTGGTCGACCGTGGCCTCGTGTTTTTTTCCACACGACGGACCAGGCAGCTCTGGTCTAAGCAAACCACTATGGGTGGTCAGTCCAAGAAGCCGCGGCCAGGGTGGTCTTGGCCGATGCCTTTGGACATGTCTTTTAAGCCGACAGGAGATCTGGTCAGACATCTCCCAGAATGGTTGGTGGACCAGCTGGCATGCAGGGGCCACGACCCATTTCGCGTCCAAGGCAGGGCGTAAGGGCGGCTGTTCCATGAAATGGGTGTGATCATTCTTATTAATTAAGAAGAGAGGTTGCACAGACATGTTATGTTGGCAAGCCTGCACAACAGGTCCGCGCCCTCAACAGTGGTCTGCCGACGACTGCCTCAGCGCCCTCACCAAGGATGCGGAGGAGGGCTACACTGCACTTGGGTCGGTCTTTTGGGTTCATCTGGATCCCAACCACCCCTCCTTGCAGTCCGTGTCCTTTCTGGAGTTGCTGCAGGAGTCCAAGAAGCTGTTTCCACATCTTAGTTTAGTATTCCAGAGTGGGTTGGCTTGTTTGCTAGAGTTACTGCTCATTGAAGAAGAAGAAGTAGATAGCTATTATTGGAAGGTCCATCACTCCTGTTTCCTTCAGCTGTTGCCAGCCAGGTTTGTGGGCGGACTATGGCCGATGGATCTGTCGATTCTTCTGCGAGTTGAGGAAGCTCGGACCTGGTCAGAGCAGAATAAGAACAACGTTCTCAGAAGGTGTCCTTTGGTCCAAGGGCACGTGGTCGTGGCGGCCTTCTACATCGGTCTGGCACGGTCGGTCCTGGATCGCAATGCGACCGCCATAAACGACTGGTTGAATCTGGCCGGATCTGTGAGGTTACACGTCCACAGTCTTATAACGTCTGCAGATGACCCGGACGGAGAGGTCCGACGTGCAATCTTGGCCTTGCAAGCTCAAACTCGGTCGGATACAGTTGCGAGGCTGTCCTGCTCTTACCTGACTTGGCTGAAGATGTTGGAGACCGTCCTGGCAAGTCCGAAATACAACGGGAAAAAACTGGAGGAAGTGGTCGATCTCTTGAAGGAGACGGACAAAATCCACTATGTCGATGGTCGGGTCATGAATAGGACCCTGCTGGTTTGCGCCAACAATGCCATCGCCAGCTTCAAGGACGGACAAGCCGTCGAGGCGTTTCTGTCCTTGGAAAGAGGCTGGGGTCGGACGTTGTTTTCCTTACACTCGGAGAAGCTGCGAATGCTTCTGTTCGGCTGCAAGCCGGTTTGTGGTGGTCTGACTTACGTCTTGGAAACCATGTACTTTATGCTGCATCTCAAGTTGATCACTCCTGGCAGGTTCACAACACATGCTATGAATGGTCAGAAGAAGACCAGTTTTTTGACCTTGGCATTGGCTGCCCTGCAGATTCTGCAAACCCTCAAAGCCAAGCTGCTGGATGACCCGAAAGGGTCCGAGTGTTTGGCTGTCTTGAGAATGTTTGAGAGGCCGAGCAAACTGGTCACATACGTGAGGGTACAGGAGGGGGAAGTGGCGGAGGAGGATGGTGGTGATGCTGATGAGACCGAGGCTCAGGAAGCCGACGAGGAAGATGGCCAGACTGGGCAGAAGAAGAAAAAAGGAAGTGACAAAGAAGTTATTTTGGGCGGCTGGTTCCTGGACAAGGAAACCCGCGCATTGAGTCTGGCGGAAATCCTCCTTCGGCTGGTCTGTGGAAGGTACGAGAAGGATGTGGTTCACCTGGTCAAGCACAGTCAGCTTGGTTTCCTGGCCGAGGGCCTCCACCTTCCTCTTCCTCTGGTTCAGGCACATCCAACATGTATGTCTGGTTTTTAAGTTGTGAATATAGTATTCTGTTGGGGCCCAAGCTAGCGTGATCGGCGCACGCATGTAATTGTTTTAATTATGCGCCTCCACGCAGGCTCTGTGGTCTGTCGTTGGCATCGCGCACCACAACGCAGAGGATGCTTCATCAAAAGGGGTGGAGCCGATGGTGGTCGGACCAGGAGATGTGGAAGCATGGCTGCAACAGCAGCTCGAGGTTTGTCTGCTCCCGATGAAGAACCTCAAGACTGAGGTGGTCAGAGCAATCCTGAAAACCTCGGTTCTGAACCGAGAAGGTGTGGGCCGCGTGCTCTACGTCTGGAATGGGGACTCCATCCAGGAAAAGCCCACAAGGCCGTGGATGCGAACAGGCGCTTTTGGTCGGGCTCAGAAGAAAGTCTTGACTGCTGTGCTGAAGATCTTCGTGGACATGGTCAGCAAAGCTAAGACGCATGGCTTCAAAGACCATGCAATGGCCCTGGCCTGTGATGGTGGTCTGAGGGCGCAGCGGCAGCTGTTCGGGGCCAACAAGATCTTCGGTCTGTCCGCGAAAGAGCTCATCGTGTACCAGCGCCACCGAGGTCCGACGGCCAAAAAAAGGGTCGGACAGAAGAAGCAGAGCCAGCACCACGTCGTGCAGCATGTCTACATGAACATCAACATGGAGAACAAGAAGGAAAAAAACCTTTTTTTGAGGTCGGTCGTGGACAGGCTGTCGGATGTGGAGGGGTCGGTCGTCAATCCTTTGCCACTGGGGTATCCGGCGTTTCCTCTGGTCGGTCCGAAGACCAAGTGCGAGGTCATGGGTTGGACCAAGAAGAAGCGAGGGCCAGCAAGCCCCGCTTCGTGGAGGTCTGACGCGGAGCTGCCATTGTTCTGGCGAGAGAAGAAGCCGGTCGGATGGTGGTTGGACGTTTTGACAGCAATGCAGCCGGATGCTGTCGTGGACTTCACACCTGGTTGCGGTCTGCCCTTGGCCTGTCTGACGCGCTCTGTGCGCTACGTTGGCGTCCAGGTGGCAGCGTGAGTACTATTGTTGTTATTAATTTACCTTTAGGTCGGTAGTTTGCTCCTGCTGCGGTGTGGTGGATGCATAAAATGCTGCTGTGGGTTTTCTCACCTCAGCACTACCCAGGCCTGGCCTGGAACGACGCTCACAAGAGGTGCCTGGCCTCTCACATCCACCTCGAGGCCGCCAAGAAGCACCTCGCCGGTCGACCCCTCCTGTGGTCGGACTTGGATGCCTATGCTAATGCTGACGATGAGGAACCACAGACCGAAGAAGAGGACGATGATGAAGATGACGGCAGCGGAAGCGACGAATCCTAGCAGACCAGGTCCGTCCCAGTTGTTTCACAGGGTTACCTGGAGAACCTCTGTTGCCTAAAATAATTGGGTGCCGCTCCAAACGGAGCGCCTTTGCTAAAGTCGCCCACAATTGTGTCACCGGCAATATCCCCAAAACCAAAGATGTCACTGTGACCATTATCATCTGTAAACCACTTTTGAAGAGGTCTTGGTGGGTAAGGTTGATCTTCAAGTATGTGCGGATACATACAGATAAGGTTGTTATGATTTATTGATGGTATTTCCGTTGGGGCTTGCTCTTGCATAGCATTAAGCAGGGGCTTCAAAGGTTGTTATTGAGGGGGCTGCTCGGGTTGTATGCATACTTTGATATCGTTCAGTTACTGCAACACTTGAAAACAAAGCTAGATGCCTGAGCTTATTCGGTCAAGGTGTATAGTATTGTCGGAATGAACCTCCCCATCCCCATCTACAGGCCCTTCATAATCCAGAATGGCCCATAATCCCAAATTCTAAGAACCGAACCCTCCCATCCATCGAGAGGCTGGCCCAGCAGATTGGTGCGTTGTGGCACAGGCAGACCAAACAAGTTTACAACACACACATATATATGTACATATTTTAGCATGCATAAATACAGGTATATATATGTATGCATCCATATTGCATATACAATACAGTTCATGATATACAACATAGTTGGGTGTCTTTACACTCATTATACCTGTATACTATATATACTGACATATACGGTTTACGCTATATACAATAGAAAGGTCCCTTATGTAAAATTCCCTATACAATACCCCATACCTCAAAAAAATACCTTAAATGCGTCAGCACTGGAAACTTTTCTTCCGCAATGGCCGAACGAGCTGTCACCTCGGTTGAAGGACCGCTTCTTTGAGTCACATGATGCTATAAACCCTGGCCCTGATTGAAGCCCGGCCAACTTCGCAGGACGGTGGGGGCCTACGTGGATGTGCTGCATCGAGCATCAGATCATGTTCGAGGTGACTGAGCAGCATTCATTAGGCTTGATAATGGCAAGTACGGCTGTGTGGCAGGACAGCCTTATGTGTGGTATGGATGGATGATATGATATTTGAGAGATCGGCGACTTGGTGGCATATACAGTGAAGTGCAACACAACTTGCAATGTCTGTTGTGAACTGACTGTCATCTGGGTTACCACCTAAGGTGCACATGGTCATCGGCCTATCATCTTGGCTCCGAGTGCCCTGTGCTGCTTACTTCTCGGTCGAAATCTAGCAAGGGATCAGTGATCATGGCCATCGCATACGTGTATCATGTATCCTGCATGCATGATTTCTCAAGAAAGGGTTCAGGATTCAAGATAGAAGTTTCTGCTGGCACCATGAACGAGCGCTTGTCGGTGCTCTTGGAGTGCATCCCCATCGTCCGAAAGCGCTTTCGGAAAGGGAAGAGCTGGATCCGAGAACCCGAGAGCGAAGGAGGTAACAGTCTGCAAACTACGAGAGCTGTTGAGCTGAACTACAACACGTTGCGGACTGTTATCAGATGGATGCCAAACCCGAAGCTTTCTATCCATACTTTGGAGCCCGAGGCAGGAATCCTAAGATCACATGTACACCTGAAGTGCTTAAACCTATAACCCAGACTTAAAAGCAGTTCCCTTCTCCTTGCAGGTGAAAGGCCTCTTCAAGAAGATGAACCACGTGCCCGAGGAGCGACGTGCAGCGTGGATTGATTCCTGGAGCATTCGGACTATGGTTTCCTATGCCCTCAAGCGGCAGAAGGATTCCCTTCGCCGGGGTCAGATTCCGAGGGCTCCTTTGCTATGTTATTACAAAATGTGATACTGTTTTTGTCAATTCTCGGGCCTGCAAGGGTTCTTATTGCATAACTAAGGAGGAGACGGTTCGGAAGCTTTTCGCCCTCATCGCTAAGAAGCGCAAGGAATGGGCCCAGGCTGCTCGTGAAGCCCGAGAGAATGAGCTTCTTGAAGAGGCCGAGGAGGAGGAAGGAGAACAGGAGGACGAGAGGACGAGGGTGGGGAGGATGAAGATCATGATGATAGGAGTGACTCGGAGCCAAATGCAGACGGGAGGAACAATGGGGAGGGGGAGAAAAAGGAGAAGGGAAATGAAGCCGGAGATGGAGATGAGGAAGGAGAGGAGGAGGAGGCAGGGGATGACGACGACCCAGTCATCGAAATTCCCGGCGAAAGGTCTTCGAGTTGCCACATGAACTTGAAGCGAGAGCAGTTGGCTGATATGCTAAGACAGATCGACAGCCTCGAGCAGAAATTGGGAAAGAATCTTATCTGACACATACCAGATCGATCGGATTGTGTACCGGTTTCTGAGTCGGTTTGCTAAATACATTTATAAGGACTGCTGAAGCTCCTGCTCAACCTCCTCTGCGGCGTGGCCACTTGCTTAAAGTTTATACCTGGAGTATGGCCTACATCGACTAATAATTTAGTTCAAGGCCCTTAAAACTTAATGCTGAGGTGAACCGATCTCGATCGAGGACAGCCCTGTGCCCCCACCGAAGTCCACCAGCATTTCCGGAGCACCCCGTCCTCCCGTACTTCGTCGTGCTCGAAGCAAGCGTACGAATCCTGACCAGGTGGCTTTTTGGATGCATCATAAGTGTGTCGTGAGTTGCACATTATGTGTTGTGCATAATAGTTCCATTGCGCATGCTATTTGAGGAAACACAAATCCTACCCGCCGATCCTGAGTCTGAAGCCGAAGCCCTGGAACGAGTCCTTCCCGATGTGACTTGGCTGTCAACTTATACAGCATGCATACAACAATTCAATCTGCATGGTGTGGTATTTGTGCCGTTCGAAATAAGGTTTCGGGTGATCTTGTAACAGCCCAAGATCAAAATACTTTGCGATCCTCGCGCCGACCAGCGAAACGAGGAAAGAAAGGCAAGATTTCGCCTAAGAAATCAAAAGGCAAGGCTTCGCCCAAGAAAGCAAGGGCCAAAGCGAAGGCAGCAGCCAAGGCAGCTGCGGCTGGAGCTAAGGCAGGCAAGGGCACTGGAAAATCCAAGGCAACGGCTAAGGCCAAAGCGAAGGCTATGGCCGGAAGTGGATCGAGCGAGCCTGCAAGCACGACCAAGGGCCGTGGCAGAGGCCGTGGCTCAAGCAATCCGGCTGAGGAAGCACCTCCCATTGCTGAGAAAGGCCGTGGGCGTGGCCGGGGACGCGGCTCGACAGCCGCTGCTCCTCCGACTGCTGAGGTTGCTGAGAAGGGCCGCGGTCGTGGGCGTGGCGGCCGAGGACGTGGCTCAGCCGTTCCTGAGGATGGCCCTGCAAAGGGCCGTGGTCGAGGACGTGGGCGTGGTTTGACTGCGGCAGATTATGGTATCTACGATCGTGAGCTCGGGTGTCCAAAGTGCAGAATGGCCCCAATCGGGTGCACAAACTGCCGCAACCCCGAGTATCGAGGCAGGGCGGCCCGCCGATCAGGAGAGGAGTGATTTGTGTGGCCATGTGATTTTCCATGCAGCCTGCGCAGCCGAGAACGGCCGACATGGTATTTCATGGTATATATGTGCACAGGGAGAGCCTTGTGTGAGGGTGGCCCAGGAGGTCCCGATGAACACTTCACACTCAAGTGATTGTACATATCGTAATATACATGCAGAGATTCGGGACCTATCTGAATGGGGAAAGTCTGAGTCCTAGCTACAGCAAGCAAAGCGAGTTCGAGGGGTTATCGAAAAGATTATGTGTCAAGCACGCTTCGATTTTTGTAGAAATCCATCCCATGCAAATTAATCCCATGCCATCCTGCTGCCAGGTACACCGTGATGAGCTTCGCGTGGAGATGTCGGCAGCGGCAGCCCAGCTCCTCGAAACGTGCTTCCCCCCGTGCGTTTGAGTTTCTCTGACTTTGTGTTGGAGTGCGCCATGAACTGTTGCAGCAGCGCTTTGGGTCACATGTGCGATTGCGTGCAAAGCCTATTACAGCTTACAGCCCATTGTATAACTTCTGCTAGTGTACCTGTATACCTCCGTGCTCCAGCCATGGTCAACAGAACTGTGGCACGATCGATACTGAAGAACCTGGTTCGAGTCAGTGCACCTGGGGCCCCAAGATGCAATTAAGGTGTAAACCGTATTTAAGCCCAGCCGAATGACCCTCTATATATGACCCTGAGCCCAGGTCTTGATTCTATGTGTTCTTTTGGTGTTGCAGACCAAAGACCTCAAGCTCGATCAGGCGGGGCCACACAGCAGTTGCAGCAGCGTTCTGTCGTTGAGTGTGCCTTGGATAAATTTCGGGTGTGCTGGGATCAGGTATTGGATGGCTGCGAGGTATGTGCAGGAACAGCTATGTTAACCAGAGTCCTCCAGCTACATGGCCTCAATATACGTGCCCTCGATATTGCCTACTGGAACCATTACAACAGCAGCCGCCCCGCTATGCACAACCCTCTGGACATGCTGGGGAATGCCGGGTTTGTGAGCCTTTACTGCAAAAGGTCCTTTCATTCGTGATCCTGATGCGAACTTGTGAGCATGCACCAATCCGAGGTTGCTATTGATCCAGGCCTTGCGAGCCAAGCCCGGTGCCACCTATCACTTCGGACTCTGTTGTTCATCATGGGTTTCGATATGCAAGGCAAGTTCGCTACGGTCGTTCCTCAACCCCCACGGTGACTGCACACGGGAGTTTGTTGATAACGGCAATACAATGGTGTCAAGGCTCGTGTATCCACTTACTTCAGCATGTGCTAATCCTACCTGGTATCCTACACATGCGGTCTTGTGCATCCCTGCAGATTCTGCCTACTGGCCTGGCTGCTCATGTCGAGGGGGGCTCACTGGTGCCTCGAACAACCGGTGACTTCACTTATGTACCGCCACAAGCGGTTCCAGGAGCTTTGTCGTGCAGTGGTTGTGCCCTGGCCTTATGGGACAGTTCGCTAGGGTTTCAGGTCTTTGGGTACGTGTGTGTGTGTGTGGGGTGTGTGTGTGTGTTCGTAGTACTTGCATTCATACCTGTACACACAGACACACATGTATAAATAGGTATGCATACCAATAATAGATATATTGTATATATATATATATATATATGTATATTGTATACACATGCATGCATACATATACACACATACACATGCATATACACACATACACACACATATATACATATATATATATATATATATAGAGAGTCACATAACATATATGTGTGCACATATACTTCTACATATATACATTCATGTACAGTACAAACATGCATGTTACAACACTCCGTCTCTCCTGAACATAATCTTCGTTGTGATAGCAGTGGGCAGCTTTCGACCCAACCCCAAGCTCCGATCGCAGCCAGCTGAGAAAGCTATATAGGATCCCTGACCCTCGTTTGAACCCACTCCCATGTTGCAGCCCAGCCCCGACCCAAGCATCTCCAGGTGTACCGGCAAGCCTTTTGGCTTGGCAAACTTGGCGCCAAGACCCCGAAGAGGTCCAGATTGTGGTCCAGCTCAAAAGCCATCTTGGATTTTCGCAGGTTTGCTAAACTCTCCAAAAAAGAGCGAGAAGCATGTCGGGGAAACTTGGTAAACCGAAAAAAGGATGCCAAGGGAACGTCTCGGTATACGGGGAACAAGAACCTCAAAAAATCTCAGAGTCTTGCCTGTATTAAGACATTATGTTATAACATCTACTAATCCACAAGGCCCCACTCACCTATATAGTTTAAGGCCTGCTAGCTAAGGAGGTACCCGTTCGCCTTCGCTATGCGCTTTGCAAAGCTTTGGCCATGCTTCCAAGCATCGGAGATCCAATGGAGGAACAAGCTCAAGGAGGCAGATGATCGGCATGGGCTGTTCGATTCCTTAGTTTGTACGACACCCAATTAACTAATATATGGCATTCGATCCGAGGTCCATGGCTTTCAATGTTCGGATGCCAAGCAGGTGATCTATTCAGAGGTTCCCAAGGATTTGTGGAAAGATGCCAAGCTCGACGGTGTGCTAGAGTACATGTATGCCAATAAGAGGCTCCGTCTTTCGACGGACCAGAAAGAGATGTTGCGAAGGCTCGCAGCAGATTTCGCCGGCTAGGTCGCAGCTCCTGAGCTCGTTTCAAACAGAATGCTGTCGAGCCCCGCCAGGGTTTGTAAAAGGGTTCTTCGCGGGGGGCGGGGTTGTCTCTATATATGTATACAATTATACATCGGATATGTGTCTGTCTGTAACATACAATGTATGCATATATATATATGATAGATGTACATATATATATATATATATACACGTATATGAATGCCTCTCCATCTATATAAATAAATATATACATATATATATATAAGTATATATGTATTGCAGATAGGGAATCGTATGTATATATATATATATACATACGATTCCCTATCTGCAATACATATATATATATATATATATACATATATTTATATAGATGGAGAGGCATTCATATACGTTGTATACATACATATATATATATATATATATATATATATACATACCTATCCATATATATATGCATATATATATATATATATATATGCTGTATATATAGAGGCTTTAATACATATACATACATACAACATATATATATATATATATATATATGTATTTCGCAATATATTAGGGCTCAGTGCTGCATTTTCTTGGGGGAAGGGCTTCGGTGATGCTTTTTCAGACTGCGGTGCCGGCTTTAGTGGGGTCTGCGCTGTTTGCTTTCACCAATGTAGGGCTTTGTGCTCTTTTGCAAAAGATTGTGGGGGTTTGTTGGCTTATGTACAAGGTTGCAGGGTTTCACCTGCTTTCAATCCACTTTAAGCTACTCTAAACACATTTAGGTGCATTCTGCACGGTTTTGAACACAAAACGCAGTGCCGTAAAAAAGCGTAGAGTGCCATAAAAACCTGTGCTAGTGCCATAAAAAAGCGTAATCCCCGCAACGCCCCGCAACACTGGTTCACAGATGTGCATTTTGCATCCCTAGGGGGTTAGATCACGATGGTGAAGGGCAAGCCTTTGCGGCTTGAATCCAAAAGCCACAGCTGTGCCACCCTCTATGCGGGACAATCCTTCGTCGAAGCTCCGTTTGTGAAGCAAGAACCTGAGAACATTGATGCTGATCTACGAGTATCTTAGCAGCAATCGAAAACCTCACCGATCATATCTGATCCCGACAAACCCATAAACCATGCATCCCAGGCAGCGTCGAAGCGTCTCGAGGACCTGAAGCAGAAGGCCCGCAAGATCGAAACGATGACGGGCACCGAGGATCCGAGCGAGCTTCGCAACTTTGGTCTTGCAAGCCCTGTGGTGAATGCTGTACATGACCCTCCTAGCCGACCTGCCCGACCTGTAGCTACTCCTGTCCGTGCACCCGAACGAGCAGTCTCGACAGATGCGCAACCTCGCTCACAGCAACTCTGGGAAGCAGCTTTCCCGGGGCCTGTGATTGATGAAGGTGCAAAGGAACCTGCCGCTGTGGAAGCGGATCTTGCTGCAGGTGGGCCAGCTCCGGGGCAGGTTGGGGAACCTACGGCTACAGCTGACCCGACACCAACCCAGCCCGAAGACTCCGACGATGAGTTGATTATGGATGTGGACTGCGTAGCTAGCCAGCACGTAGCAGTTTTCGATACATGTACTCGTATACACACCCACGACTCCTATGCATGGCCTATACAATGAATGAAATCTACAAATATAAATGAAAATCTATTAGGATATGTATATTACCCCTGGCTGACTATGTCCAAAGACACGCAGAGGTATGTATGTATATATGTATAGCATATATATCTATATATATATATATGTGTATTTATAGTATGCATGTATGTGTGTATCATGTATATGTATGTGTTGTGTATATATATATATATATGTATGTATGTATGTATGTATGTATGTATGTATGTATGTATGTATGTATGTATGTATGTATTATACGTATATCTGTATATACACATGTACGAAAGTACATGAAGGATTTATAAGTGCAACTGAGGTGCTTAATTGCATGTATTTATTCCTTATACACAAATATATCATGTATAGCTCATATATATATATATATATATATAATTCGTGTACGCACACAATATACCTAAGCCAAATCAGAAGCCCTTCCAGACCAAACGTTCTAAAAGCAGTGTCTTTGCATCCGAACAACCGAGGATTATGAGGAGCTTGGAGAGCTCTTGCGAGCCAGCATCCCAGCGAAGCTGGAGAAGTCGCCAGTGCCACCAACACCCACGGCAGCTTACCTTAATGATAAAGCTTGTTCGGCTTATGAAAGTTCTGCTTCGGGTACTGGCAGGTGGCTGATGCAGAGATGGATGGTCTCGCTGATGTGTACTGGCCGGAAATTGACGGGCCGCAAGAGTCTGTGCAAACAACTCAAGTAGCCAGCCCAGCCCGAAGCCCTGTCCGAAAGTTGTTCCACACTCCCGAAGCAAAGCCCGCAGCAGCAACTCCGAAGAAGGCTACCACAGCTGCTTTGACCCCCACGGACTCCCCCAGGAAGAGGAAGCCCCCGCGAGGTCGCAGCAGATCCCCCAACAAGTCTTCAGAGCGAAAGCCTCGTCGCCGAAGCAGATCCCCACACAAGTCTTCCGGGAGAAAGCCAGAGCGGAGCGAGAACAGATCCCCGCACAAGTCTTCCCAGAGAAAGCGAGATCGGAGCGACGACAGATCCCCACACAAGTCTTCCCAGCGAAAGCGAGATCGGAGCAACGGCAGATCCCCACACAAGTCTTCCCAGAGAAAGCAAGATCGGAGCAACGGCAGATCCCCACACAAGTCTTCCCGGCACAAGCGTCGCAGTGCTAGTCGCAGCCCCGGAGATACCCACGAGCGAAGGGCGAGCAGTGCCACTCCGGCCAAATCAAAGACCCGAAGTCCAATGGATGCGTCGGCCGAGCCTCGTCACTCCAAATCCCCGGGATCAGCAACTTCGTCACCCGCGACAGCTACAAAGAAGAAGGCACCCTTATAACCCTAAGCCCTGTAAACCTTAAACCCTAAAACTGAAATCTGATTTCTTTGAAACCCCTTGTGTTCCATATCCCTGCAGGACATGCGAAGGGGAACGATCCGTATCACTGCCAGGGAGTACCGCAACTACGAAGCCACGTTGCGCCGGATGTGCACCAAAAGTGCAAAGCGTGGAACCTTGCAGGTGAGCGATGATGTTGCCGAGAAGTGGAAGTGTACCAGGTCGCGCAAGCAACTTATCGTGGCTTTGATAAATTGCAAAGGCGACAAAGCCTCTCTTCAGCACTACAACATGTGTCAGCCGATGCGTGTATGTGTGTGTGCGTGTGTTTGCATCGATCTGTTCCATGTGGTCAATGCATGCCGAAACATCTCAGGAGAGCTTCAACCAGCGCATGGAGATAGTGATTCGCAACATCAAGGAAGGACGTGTGACAATCGACAGCGGCTTCTATAGTGAGCAGGCTATGCGAACCGAGCTCAAGTTTGATCGGCAGCTAGGCATGCACAACTTTAGATGCAACTTATATGTGCACAACCAACTGATCCTGCTCCAGCCCAGGGACCGAATCAAAGCCATCGTCGCATATTGCACTGCCAATAGAAGTCGCCGCCGATCACTCACGAGGCCTGCCCGATGCATTGTATTTGCTGTGTTGTGTTGCCTAACTGATTAAGTTTCCATTGTTTTGTTGTTGGCAGGAAGGATAAGTATCAACGCCACATCGTGGAGTATTGGGTCGACGTGAAAACCAGCGGAAGCCTATCCAAGACGAGCCGTGAAGAGTTCAACCAAACTGTGGAAATCGTGGACGACAACCTCCAGCTGCCTCCGCCTCAGTTGGGAAACGAGGCCCTTCCCTGCTACGACGAAGAGGACGACGAGGACGATGATGATGATGATGAGGAGGAGGATGGTACCGAGCCACGGGACAAGACTTCGAGCGTGACACCCAAGCTGAAACGAAAGCGTCGAGGAAAGACCCCCAGTCCCAAATCCAAGCTCGCTGCGAAGAAGAAGCGAGAGAAAGCGGAAGAAGTGGAGAGTGCTCTGGAGGCTTGCTACAGTCTGTTACTGATTCCATTTACAACACCCCAAACAAGCCCTGAACCTTAAGTCCATAAGCCCAAAACCTGTCAGGACATCGACAAGATACCGGATGTATTGAAAGAGATCTTGAAGCTGCGGATCAAGATTGACAACACCCTCGACCAGCTGCACAAGAAAAATCATGGCAAGGATAGTGGCACCACGAAGTTTCCTAGCTGCTTTAAATGTGCATCTATCTAGACCCCTATATATCTTCGGCCATGTACATCATATACACCTAAACAGCATCATATTGCACCCTTGATCTGAGGTCGAAACTCCATGAGCAGGCTGAAGCTTTGATGACACTCCACGATGAACTCGCTGAAATCAAAGCCGATAACTGTAGTGGGACTCCCAGTGAGAAGCCCCTTATCTGCAAATATATGTGCACATGGCACAATGTACACCAATGTTGACTGCTCTAAACTGAGGACGATTGGGAAGCTGAAAGAACACCTCGCTCAGGTCGAGAAGCTGTGGCCTGGTTTGAAACCCATGCAAGCCTCCATTGCATAAGAGAACCAGGAAATCGCCAAGCCCATGCTGCACACCTTGTTTGTCCCAGGACAAGCCGCATCACTATGGAAGAGAAGAAGCTCAAGAGGACTTCAGTGCATGCTATATCTTATTCTCGACAGATCGATAACCTAGGCTTGGTTTGGGGGGCCCTATAAGTTAACAATTGCATGGCAGGACAGTTCTCCGATCCAAGCCGGCTGTGAAAAGCAAGGCTAAGGGTAAGCGCAAGGCCACAAAGGCCGGTGGCGATTCTGCTGAGGGAAGCGATGAGGATGAGGATGAGGATGATGAGCAGCCAAAGCCGAAGCCTAAGAGGAAAGCTAAGGCCAAAGCTGCCCCGAAAGGTGGAGCCAAGAGCAAGAAGTAGGGTGCTAGCCCTGCTGTGCACAACAAGGTCTAGCGACGATCGATGTTCTTATAGCTTATGGCTTGCAAGTATACGGGGTTCCCTTAATGGGGAGTGGGTTGGAACACCATGCACAGCTGGGCAAAGCTTTTCTTGTCACACGCACGGAAAAGTCGTGGTGTGGTTGCATAGCTTGCAAAGCATGTGTATGCAGTTCGTTAGCTCGAGACTCGAGATGAACGGTACTCTGATGGGGCATGACTATATGCAAAAAGACGCCCACTGATCTATAGATCTCGATCTGAATTCCACCACAATGTAATCGATAATTGATGCTGCGCAGGTGCTCGGGGTGCACCGGATGCTGCGGAGCCCAGTCAGCCTGGATCAGCCTCGGCTGCATTGGCGAGAGCGCGTGGATCGGGGGCGTGGTTTTCGAAATTTCGGATCTGGTTTGGACCTATATATCGCCAAAAGCTTAAATAAAGAACCCGACGCCTTTCGCGATATATCTTCTATAGACCTCCCAACCCGAATCCCAAATCCCTGATACTTCAAATCTCGTCCTATCCGAAAATATATAATGGAATTCTTATACACCACCTGAACTAATGGAACTGTAAACTCAATCATCTTTGACAGCCCAACAGCCCAAACCTAATTTTACAAAAGCACCCCTGAAGGTTTCCGATCGGCTGCTATGTGATTTAGCTGCTGGGTTTTTGGATGAGGTCAATGAAGCCGACCCTGATCTGGCAGAGAACCTTCGAAGCTCAGAGTTTTTGCGTGACTTGCACAGGAAATCCGCAACGAAGCATGAAAATGCTAGTGGGAGAGCTTTCGTGAAGGAAGGCTTATCTTGTCCGGTTCCTACCACTACTGTGGATGTTGGTTCGGGCTTTGAGCACCCTGTCCTAAAGGTCAAGGACATGCTTAAGGCTTTGGATTCTGCTGGAAAGATACCTATATTGTGGGGTTCCGAAAGTGCAACCTCCCATACTGATGTGCTGCCAAAGTTCTGGCGGCGATGGAGAGCTCACGACCCCGGCCATGAGGTTTTCAAGGAACATCGCCAACATCTAGATATGGTAATACCCGTACAAGTTCATTCGGACGAGGGTCAAACCCTCAAAAAGAGCGGGGTCAATATCCTGAACTGGCAATCACCAATTGGATTTGGTGTTTCTACGCAAGAGGATGTCCCTGCTGCTATGTCGCTAAACTACATGGGCAATTCCTACTCAACACGATTTCTATTCTCTATATGTACCAAGCGACTCTACGCCAAAAAGAAACGGGGCTTTATCTTGGATGGGATCTTCGAACACCTTGCGGAGGAACTTAGAGATTTATTCTACAATGGCGTGACGCTGAAGCTGAACGGCGGAGAAGACAAGACGTTCTTTTTGGCCCTTATTGGAATTAAGGGTGATTGGCCCATACAGGCTCGTATGGGGAATCTTCAGCGGCACTTTTGTCGCAAAGGTGTTTACAAAGTCAGTGAAAAGAGTGGTTTCTGCCACTTGTGTCGTGCTGGGGAAGAAGGCTACAATCCGAACGATTACAGTGAACGTGCTGCTTGGAGGTCTACCTTTCTAAAGTTTCCTCCATGGTCTTCGGAGGGTCCTTTCTGCAGGGTGCCGCAGTCGTCTGCGAAAGAGTTCATGCACAAGTTTGACCTCTTCCACACGTTGCATAAAGGATGCTTCGCTGAGTTAGCTGGAAGTGGCCTTGCCACACGTCTCGATTTATGTTTGTGTTTTTTTAATTTTCGTGAACTTTATATAGGAACCAAACATAACCTACTTAAAACTCAGGTTCTCATCACGGACTATAAGTTGGCAGGCCCTGGGGACATTCCAGTGCAGCTGACTGCGATCTATGAGATGGCTTCGGAGTACTGCAAATCGCAAAATATACCGTTGCACATGGATGCCTTGACACGGCATCTGCTCAAGTTTTCAGGAGACGCTGAGTATCCAACAGGGCACCCTGATTGAAATGATGCATATTGATTTAAAGATTTTGTTGTTCGTGGGGTGTATATTTGGTTCGTTGTGAGTGTAATCGACTTGTGAGGAATTGGTTTAAAGGGGCGGACACGACGGCGATGTGTTGCTTCCTGGAAAACTTTTGGTCGAATCATATCTCGAGTCTTGATGCACCGGACGCCTACTTGAGCAGCATGCTTGATGCTCTGCGCTCCGCGAATGCCTTCATGCGCCTACTTTTCCGTTCTGGCCTCTGGCTTTCTTTGGACCGTTGCCGTGCAGTTGCTAAAGCCGGCCTGGGCTTTTTGAAAGCATACCTTGAAGCGTCACACGCTGCATACACCATGCGGCGAACACGTTTTAAGGTAACCCCAAAATTTCACGCGATGATCCATATAGTCGACACACTCGTTTGCGCGAGCAATGCCAAGAGACAATGGACGCTGTCGCCGCTTTCCGAGAGCACCCAAATTGATGAAGACTTCGTGGGGAGAATCGCGTCGATCACTACATCCGTGGATTCTCGTGTTGTCCATAAGCAGACGCTGGATCGCTACAAGACAAATGTCTGGAAGCATCTGACAGGAAGAAGTGAAAAAGAGTGATCTTGATCGAGATTCTTAAGAGATTCTATCATTGTAAGGCACTTATATCTCGAAATCCCCCAAAAAAAAGCGTCACTGGGTATGGGCTCATATGGTTCACAAGCGCCTTTCGTCGGTTGCCTATTATTTTGAGGGCCCAGGTTTCCAAGGTAATGGGACAATGACACCAGCCATTAGGAGGTTCGCCTCGCTGGGCCGTGAGTCGTGCTAAATTTTAAAACAGGAAGCAGATGCACCGCTTGGGCTTTCAATAGTTGATGAAACGTGCTTGCTTTACACTTGCCTTGCTTGCCGAGGTTTGTCTGGCCGATTCAGCAGACGCCGCAGACCTGGTTTCTGCGACCAGCTCAGAGAAGACTCAGAAGCCTTGCTTGCCGAGGTCTGTCTGGCCGATTCAGCAGGCGCCGCAGACCTGGTTTCTGCCAGCTCAGATAAGAAGCCTTGCTTGCCGAGGTCTGTCTGGCCAACTCAGCAGACGCCGCAGAGCTGGTTTCTGATTCTGCGACCAGCTCAGATAAGAAGCCTTGCTTGCCGAGGTCTGTCTGGCCGAATCAGCAGACGTCGCAGACCTGGTTTCTGCAACCAGATCAGTGAAGAAGAAGCGTTGTGAGTGGTTTTGTAGTTTTTGTCTTGGCAGGTCGGAGAGAAGACGCCTGGCAGCGTGAAGACTTCACTTGGGCTCCTGAAGTGCGGCCGGCTCGTGTTGTGTCTTGCCCTGTGTTCTCTTCTTGAACTTATAGATGTGGCTGGAGCATGGCATGTCACGGAGCCCTGATTCAACATTTTGCTGCCATCTTCAGAGCATTTGGTCCGACTGGTCGGACTGTTCGCCTCCTGGTCAGCCTCTGCCCCGTGTGGTCCGACAGCCATGGAGCATCGACCCAGGGAGCCGGCGGAAGAAGAGTACTTGATCGCGGAGTCCCTAGATGTCATGACTGACCAAATAGGGTGGGTCCGACGGAATTTCACCACTTGGGTGAAAAATTCCAAGCTGGGCCTCTCTGGTCCGACCGTCGAGGCGCTCCCGCCTCTCAAGATCTTCGAAGGAGAAGAGGCAGGTCCTGGTCAGAGTCAGGCAGCTGCGGCAGGCGACAAGACTCCGCCGCCAAAGGCAAAGGCGGCGGAGCCCCCTCTTAAAAAGCCCAAGCTGGCCCTTTCCTTCAAGGATTCTTGGTTGCAGGTCAGATATCTGCATGCAGAGGGGGAAGACATGGAACTCAGAGGAGAGAGACTGAAGGAGAGAAAGAAGAGAGAGAAGAGTCCACTGTCATGACCAGGAGATGTTCAACCGAACAAACGCGATCAACGCGCTTGGTACGACCAACATGTACGAGAGTGGATGCAGTATCTTCTGGCTGGACGTACTTGCCGACTTGAAGTCCAACACGACAACTGGTCTGTCCTTCGCAGAGATAGTGGAGCATTTTGGCTTCAAGAAGAGCTAATTTGTGAGCAATGCTGCCTGCATGCATGATACTCTTGATGTTTGAGCCCTTACTTGGTTGTTAGTTGACAAGTTGGTCCTAGGCATGCCAACCTGTGGATGACAGAGACCAATGGCAGACTGGTTTGTCCCATCGTCCTGCTTGCCAACGTCACTGATGAAAAGCAGCTTGACAAGCCCTGGTCCGTCGTCTGCGGGTCAGGCCAGCCGTGCTTGACGAATTCAGTGTATCGTTTTCAACCCAGACAACATGGCCTGATCACAGACTAAGAGCCCTCTCTCTCTCTCTCTCTCTCTCTCTCTCTCTCTCTCTCTCTCTCCTCTCTGTCCAGGCACGATCTTGGGCTGGTGGCTTCAATTGGCCCGACACATCGAGCAATCCCAGTGGGCGATCGTGGACCAGCTCCTCAGCGCTGGCCTGACCGTCACGATCAGACTCCACAAAAGCAAGAAGGCAGACCTCGCCAAGGCGAGACTGGACTGGATTGGTCAGACGCAAAAATTGGGGGAGTTGGCCCCTAGCCTTCTGCTCTGGATGCGCTGGTTCAACGAGGCGACGTCCCACCTCAGCCTCCGGCCCGACAATGCTGCGATCAAGCAGCTCGAATCCAAGGGCATCCGCTTTCAAGGCCGGACCATCACACGCGAGAGGTTAGACGCCGCGTTAATGGCCGGTGAACTCAACCTCTTTGTTGGTCAGACGTGGCAGGCGTTGTGGGAGATCGAGAAGCAGTATGGGAAGGGTCTGTCAAACAGCCTCCCGAAGTTGCTGTCTTTGGTCCGAGTCGCGAAGAAAGTCACGTCTGACTATCCGCTGCGTGAGAGGTCCGAAAGCTTCAGCTCCTACGACAGTGGCAAGGTCCTCACCCACTTGGTCCAAAGCCTGCTGGCCTGTCTGAAGTCAGACGGGTACTGCACCCTGGATGACTTCCAGAATGGTCAGTCCGTGGAGACCTTCATGAGCATCCAGTACCAGAAGCTTTGCTTAATTGGCATGGCTTCCCAAGTGATCCGCATCAGCGAGGTCAGTGGCAAGCTGAAGGAAAGGATGCAGCATGTGGTCGAACTTTTTGCCACCCCTCTGGACTTCTTCTCCTACGTGAGCTCGAGTTCCCCCGATCCGGCGCAGGCCTTCTATGACAGCGTCTTTGGTCTGAAAGATGGCAAGACGGAGAGCGCCCAGGAGCCAATCTTGCTGGAGTTCATTGCAGCTGCCCACCAGCTCTTTGATGGGTCGGTCGATGCTGACGTGAAGAAGTACATGGATGACTACGACTTCGGGCACGTCCCAACGCAAATCTTCGTGGACATTGCCACGGGCAAGGCTGGCGAGGATGGAGGTCTGATTAAGACTTGGCGCACATGGTACAAGTCCTTGCAGCAGCCCACGAAATCTGGCCTGGTGCAACTCCTCTGCAATCAGGGGTGGTGCTGTGTGCGATGTCCTCCTTCTTGCTAGGGCTGTTTCTTCTTCTGCTGACTGCTCTCAGTCTCTCAGGTCCGACAGCGTCTGCAAGCCAACGGTCAGTCTGCTGAGCAAGGCAACCAATGATGGTGGTCAGACCGACAGCAAGAAGACTGCCGACGGGCTCTGGAAGGAGGTTCAGAAGAAGCGCAAAGGCAAGGTCGGTCTGACTATCATGAGGTCTGACGCAACCGACAAGGACGTGAGGTCTGCCTACGACTCTTGGAAGAAGAAGGCGAAGAAGACGAAGGTCGGTGAGTCCCACCACCTCGTCGTCTTCTCCGGCGATCTGGTCGGAGAGTCGGCGGACACCGAGAAGCCCTGGCTGGGTGGTCGGTCGGAGCCGGGCACAGCTGCACTCGATCGCAGCCGCGTCCTCCTGTCCGTCCTGGGCGGACTGAAGAGCAAGTCCGAGATCGTCATCGCCTTTGATGGTCGGTCTCAGTCACTGCAGCGGCAGATCCAAGATACCCTGGGGAAAGAGGCCATGGAGTGCATCCTCCTCTTGAGCCACTCGTCTTGCTGGATCGTTGGATGTGTGGTCCTAGGGTTGTCAAGAGAATAATAATTGACAATAATCCTTGATGTGGTTTGTCTGCTCTGACAGAGTGGGTTGCCCACCCAGGTGGTGAGACCATGGCCGAGAAATCTGCTAAGGGTAAGACGAACGAGGCCGAAGAGGAGACAGGCAAGCACCCATTCGGGTCGGTGGAGCATGGCTACTTCGCTGGTCCGTCGCTGCTCAGTTTGGTGGCAGCGGATTTCACCTGGACCACCGAGCTGATGAAGCAGGCCGTCCCTCAGAAACTCCCCCTCATGGGTCTGACGGAAAAGGCCAAGTCTCTGGGGATGAATGATGGTCGGACGCCACCGTTGCCGCCAAACTGGGAGCGCGATGGTGCTCCCCTGGTGTGGTCCGAATCGAAGTCCCAGTCGTTTTGGTCGGACTTGATGAGCGCTCTGTGCGTCAGTGACGTCTTCGATGCGACAGCCTCTGGTCAGCTCCTCATGGCGGCGATCAACTCAGACGTCACGTACCATGGTCTGACCAGGTCGGATACCGACACCAAATGGCTCTACGCTCTCGCTGACCGGTCGGTGTTGCGGCTTATGGCGGATGAAGAGACCGACCAGGCAGCATCGATCACCGAGCTCTTCAGCCACGCGCTGCGGTCGGACGACGAGGACGAGGAGGAAGAGGAGGATCCCGGCAACGAGCCGGAGGAAGGCCCGGTGCCCAAGAAGAAGCCGAAGAAGAAGACTACGAAAAAGAAGACCCCCAAGAACAAGAATGACAACGACAATGGCGACGACAACAACAACAATGATGAGTGACCGGAAAGGTCAGTTGTTGCATCGTTCTCTTGAAGGCGGTCCGAATTTTTTGTCCTCGTGGGAGACCGGCGTCCCGAGGTGTGAGCAAGACCCGGGTCAGACGGCTTGTTCCAGCCCGAGGTCTGATCCATTCTGAGCAAGACCGGCCCCGGCCCATGGTCTGTGCAAGACCATGGGCCTCCCGTAGCTAACTGTAAGGCGGGGCAATGGTCAGAAAGTAAAATTTTGTGACTTCCCAGTCATGTTCTGACTAGACAAAGATTTAACAAAGGGACCACTCTTGTTGTGGTCAGATGCCTCATTTTCCAGTTTTGCCCTAAGCCGTCGGTAGACATGCTGGTGAGCAGTATTAGTATTTTAAAGTAGTAGTAGTAGTAGTAGTAGTAGTAGTAGTAGTAGTAGTAGTAGTAGTAGTAGTAGTAGTAGTAGTAGTAGTAGTAGTAGTACTAGTCTAAAGACACTAAAGTTTACTGAAAGAGGCCAGAGTGGCGTGGGCAAAACAAAGCCAAGAACCAGCCCGACAAGAGGTAAAAAAGAGTCGTCGCGGATCGTCACGGTTGGGAAGTCAAGCATGAGTTGTTGTGGTGTGGATCTGCTGTGTGCCAGGCCTGTGAAGAGTCGTGGCCTGCATCTGAGTTCTGAGTCTGTCAGCTGCAGCACGGTGCGGAAGCCAAGCTTAAAGTTACGGTGTGGCTGCCGTGTGGCAGGTCTGTCATCGAGCTTGCGGGAGTTGCGGCTTGCATCTCAGCGCTGAGT